ACAATTCTTAATCGACTGACACATCAATACTTAATACTGTTTTTCCAATTAATAGTTACTTTTTGATGGTATACATAGTCATTTCGCCAAAAAGGAATACTATCACAAAACTTAGCGAAAGGAATCTTTTCAGTCAATCTGATTCCAGAATGAGTTTGTTGTTTCTTATTCTCTTACAAATCGATGGGAAAGCACGTTAAAGTATCGACCAAGTAAATGAGGTAACGAGATTGTGTCAATACTACAATGTTCTTTTTTTCATGAAACTTTCAAGTGGAGTTTGAGGAACGACTGTCGGTGTTTTTTAATATATGTTCAAGAATGTGTATAAATATATATATACACTTTCAAAGCTCATCAAAAATTTTTATTTTATTCTTTTTCAAATCAGAGTCTTACTTCTTCTAATTATAATTAATAAATTTAATTCTGCTTTTAGTAGTGTTGTAGACGAATTTTAATATACCTTTTCGCGTTTCTTACGAAAAAACAACTTATTTTCTGAGAATAAAATTAGTTTTAGGTTATCTACGTATATTTATAGTACAATCTACGTCTTCATATGTAGATCATAATTGTTTTACAATACTATTATTAGTCCTTGGTACACAGTCCCCTTTCTATCACATTATTAACATCCGCCTGAAACTTCGTAGTTTCATCTCGTAATCTACAAATATTTTATTTACGAAAATTCTCGGAATTGGGCCGTTTTCAATCTGGAGATCGGCAAACTTTGTCTATTTAATTCGTTACTAAAACCTCGTAAATAAACATTTGTTTTCCACCTTTTTTTTTTTTTTTGTTCTTCCCTACCTCGCCTTATAGGCTATACGGGATTTTCCCGGGCCGGGGATGAGGACATTTTTTTGTAGGTCTCCTTTTTTATCGATTTTCTGATCAAATTATCTAACAATCCAAATGAAAAGCTAATGAGTATTTACGAGTTTATAGTAACTAATTAAATTGACGAAGTTTGCCGATTGAAAACGTCCAAATTTCAAGAGTTTTCGTAAATAAAATAGTTGTAGGTTACGATGAGCTGAAGCTATTTACGAAGTTAAAGGCGGATGTTAACAATTTGATAAAAGGGGTCAGTGCCACGGACTATATGCTATTCGTTTATAAACTTATAATTTTAAGTAAGAGCTGCTTTAGTTAGTTTTTATCTTTTTTTTTATCACTGCAATGGTTTGCTTATAAAAGTAATTTTAACGTTCCTTTCCAATTTGATATAGTTATTTTATTGTTCATCTCCTTTCGTTAATATATCTTCAAAGTTATGTATATACTTATTATTCTTTAGTGTAATATGTCTTTTGGGTAGATTTATTGTTATTCTTTTTTCTATTTTTGAAAGACTTTTTTTCTATTTTATATAATTCTATAAGAGAATAGTTACAAAAATAATAAGAATCTAATTGAATATTTAATAATTGACCGTTGCATTATAAAGGAAGGAGATGATCCGAGGTGGCGGTCATAAATAGGCTAAATAGTGGTATAACGATTTTATTAAAAACCAACGTTTCAGCCCGACTTTGCAAGTCTTCTTCAGGGAGGTGTTTTCACTTAGAACTGAAAACGTTAGCTTTTAATAAAATAGTTTTACCACTATTTAGCCTATTTGTGACTGCCACCCCGGAACATCTCCTTCCTTTAATAAGAATCTAAAAAACAAAAATAAAACTGATGTATATATTTCACCATTTCTAACGTACAGTAGGAGTTTGTTTTAACATTAGAACTAAAATATTTATTCTTTGAGTATACTCTGTTGAACGAACATAACAAAGCTCTTAGCTGCTATTCGTTGAGCGTTTAAGAAAGTCCCAACGCCCTCTGTATCGTTGTTTTACGAGAGGTAATAAAAAGATACAGGTTGACCACACCGGCGAGACAATAGACCACAAGACAAAACAAAACAACAATACGACCTTGCTTTGCGACAAAGAAGTGCAACAAGAAAACGATACGACCTGCAGCAGCTCGTGCCTGAAGGCGGGGCAGCAGAACTCCGTGCAAAATTCTTTGTAAGGCAACGGAATTAATATTTCAAATTTTTGAAGTTTTGAAACTTCTTTAGGTGCTTTTTTTTTTTTTGTGGAGAATGAATTAGATTGAGCCGTCAGATTTCCGATGTGTTACTCTCGGATAAGGCAGCTGGAGTCGACTAATTGGTGTTTTTTGCATATTGATTAAAATATCTCGGAAACGAAAATCGGACCTGCCCACTCTAAGCGAGGGAATTGTTCAGCATTTCATCCTCTCTGTAATGGGTAGTGTTGCCCAAAATCGGTCTTAGTCTTGCAATTTTCAAGACCAAGACCAGGACTGAAAAAGTCTGAAAATCATAGTTAATAATTGGTATAACCAATATACTTTTGTATTTAACTCCTCTAATTTTTCATTCGGCCTTAGTTGGGTTTCTCCTATCCAAACAATTACAGTAATATCACTTTAGCAATGAGCTAATAAGTAGCTGCAAGACTCTTGCGCAAGACCAATACCATGACCAAGACTCGTCTCGGTCTCGCATTTGGGCAACATTAGTAATGGGATAATATTAAAAAATGCATTTTAACGCCACGCCGTGTTAGTCGAGGCAAAATATTTTTGCAAACTAAATTATAACGAGTTTCATTGAAGATGTATATTGAAGTTACTCAAAAATTAAAACTAGGACCTGCATTCTGTAAGCAAGTCAATTGTTCGGCATTTCATCCTCTCTGTAATGGGATATTATTCAAGTTGTATCTTAAAGCGACGCCGTGTTAGGGAGGCAAAAAGCGAAAAAATAGTGTCGAAAACTAAATTATAATGAGTTTTATTGAAGATATGGATTAAAGTTCCTCAGAAACTAAAAGTCGGACCTGCATACTGTAAGCAAGTCAATTGTTCACCATTTCGTCCTCTCTGTAATGGAATATTATTAGAAAATGTATCTTAACGCCTCGCCGTGTTAGAGAGGCAAAAAGCGAAAAAAATGTTTCGCAAACTAAATTATAACGAGTTTTATTGAAGATATGGATTAAAATATCTCAGAAACTAAAAGTCGGACCTGCATACTGTAAGCAAGTCAATGGTTCAGCATTTCATCCTCTTTATAATGGGCTATTATTCAAAGTTGCAACTTAAATCGACACCGTGTTAAGAAGGCGATAAGGAAGAAATAGTGTCGAAAACGAAATGATAACAAGTTTTACGGAACATTTGGTATAAAATATCTCATAAACTAAAAATCGGGCCTGCATACTATAAGCAGATTCAGCATTTCATCTTCTTTATAATGAGCTATTATTTATAATTTATATTTCATATTATTAATCTCGGCATGTTGATGTTTTCACTTATATTGTGTGGTCTAAAGCAGACACCTTAGTTGTTTTTATTTTTTAAATATTTTCCTTTATCGATATACCCGACCGGCAGAAGTTAGGAGACGGCAAATGCCGAACGAAATATTCATTTTTAGTTTAAGGAAATAAGTATTTAAATGATGAAATATATTCAGAATATACATTCATTTATGGTATTTATTATGTTTGTCGACGTTTCGACCTTATCATGTGGGCCATCATCAGAACTATAAATTAAAAATTACAAAACTCTTAATTAAATAATTGATTCAGAAGAATAACTGGATATTCTGACAATTTTTCATCCTGATAGTTTTAACAATCAACTGTATCTCCCATCTCTGAAAGTATTTTTTCTGTTGTTTTTTTTTTGGTTTAATATTTTCGATAACCAGTCTTTGTAACCGACCAAAATAAAAAAAAATAGTTATCCCTGCTCATAGGTTTGAGGTTTTACGTTATAAGATACGTAGAATCCTTTTCTTCGAGAATACTGGACCGGTTGTTTGGAATTCCGTATCAATGTCAAAGGGCACCCGAGGATGATCCTAGGAACGCGGCGTTATTCTACACACTTTCGTTTCAAGATGGCGGACGAAAAACCTGTATAGTTATAGACTTTAACGCCTAAACTGATAAACCGATTTAAATAAAACTTAGCTAAATTCTTCTCATCTTTGCCCTTTAAATTTAGGTATAGAACATACTTCACCGAAATTATGGCGTCTGAAATACCTGTGTCGTATAGACTATTGCACCTGACCCTTCATGGGTTGTAGTGGATCTGGTTTTATTTTACCAATAACAGTATAGATCAGAAACCCGAAGCGATGAATTAGGGGATCATTGATAAATTATTATCAATGGGATAGGTGCCTTAAATTATGAAAATCTAAGAATCAATATAACTCTTTCTCATTGATTATATTTTTTTAAAAAGTGAGTAAATGATTAAATCTGTCTTATCGGTGTTGGATCGACCCTGAGGTCTAGTGATCTTCCTGGGGCGCACTCAGGCACTTTAAAGTAAGTACTCTTAATTAAATAATTGATTCAGAAGAATAATCTACTCTGGTGGTTCAGCGTGTATTCCCTGCACAACTGAACTGACCTAGAAGCAGAAAGTTCTCTTTGTTTTATCGCATTTTTAGTCGGAATTCATTCTTTTGTATTCATTATTTGAACTGTTATTCATCATTCTTTCAACTTATATTTTATGATGCCTTTATTAGAATCTTCATCACACTTGGTCAACTCAATTGACGTTGATACAATTCCTGCATTATCTTCATTGATTTGCACTTACGTAAATAATTGTCGTTTTTTCCAGGGCGTCTGTTTTATTTCACTTCCTTTTATTTAGTTGTTTCAATCACAGTTGCCCTTGACGACCATGATCAATCACGTGACATCATTTATTGCGTGCGATCCTTGATTGTAATTTTTTTTTTTTTTTTGCTCGATAGCGATACAGCGCCTGCGCAAGTGCTAAAGATCTGCCCAATAATTTATCGTAACCGGATGATAACATTGAAAAAAGATACATAGATACAGTCAGTTTATCTTCCGCGTGTTGTATAGATGCTGTTCGCACCGTGGTGTGTTGTTAAGATGTTCGCCGACGGATATCCACTAACGGGTCTACCCGGATGTCGGAATGGTACCGTTCTCGGAACCTCTGGAGCAGATCTCTTGTCTTCTTATTGGAGGCGTTTCTTCTCCTGCTTCTCCTTTAAGGTAACTCATCTTAACGGTCTGCCTCCAGCGCTGGAGTTCGCGCTGGAAGTGTCGGTCGAGCGAAACCTCTTGGCTATATAGAAGATATTTAATTGATATTTCCAGCAAGTATAGTACATAGGACATAGAAATAAGTCAACAATAGGATCATAATTAATACAATTTTTTTTTTTACAAATCCGATCATTATTTTCGGTTAAAATGATATTTATTGAAATTATCTACTAATATATAACTATATGAAAAATAAATGTTTCCATGTAATCATACTAACCAGCAGAAATTAATATCTATTCTAAATTATAAGGTGGGTGTTTTATAAAATTTGTGTATTGTGCGTACAGACTGAAATTTTTAATATACCTGGATGGTGCCATATTTATTGTTTATTTAAAGTGTTTTTTTTTTTTTTGCAATGAATAAAGGTAGTTTATCTGTTATCACCTTGTTTACAGCTTACTCAGCGGGTATAAAGCTGTTGTTATCTTATCACGAAAGATAATGATAGCGTTAATCGTTATTATGACCTGTCAGGCACCGCCATGAGGTAAGGAATAAAAAATTATTTCAAATCAAAGTTGCCTGAAATTTTCCCCCGTGCCCGAGTCTCTGTGCCGTGGGCTTTTAACTGTGACATTAATCCCTCACCCTCTCCCTCGTCTCAGGAAAAAATCCTTTAGTCTTCGTAAGTTCTCCATTGATTGCTTTGAATTTTTGATACACCGTTTGCCGTCAAATTCAGGCCTGTCTTATTTCCACTCGGTCTTTCGTTTCTAAATGGAGGCCGAAAAACTTATGTCGCTATAGATTATAGTTCAAAAAGGCTGTAACGATTTTAATGATACTTTAAAGTATTATTGAAGCTATTTTAATTTATATATATATATATATATATATATATATATATATATATATATATATATATATATATATATTGCTTTCGGTCCATTGTATCCATCAGTAAACATCCTGAATTCCTACTAAAATGAAAAAAAAAATTGTATATATACATCACCTAAATCGAAAATAACGTCCGATAAGATATTTTTATAGCATTTTTTTCTGTTTTTATTTATATTTATATTTTTTAGATGAACTCTATTATAACAAATTTATATTTGACTTATAGCTATTTTATGAGTACGATAGTGAAGTGAAACAATTTATACTACCGACCTAAGGTGCTAAGAGGGTTCAAATATATTTTTGTTAAAAGTAACGATAGATTCAAAATTTTATTCGCGAATAATTAAAAAGTAAACAAATGTTACCTGCACTATTTTATATTGTAAGTTCGTATAAAAGTGTACATACGAATATGTAAGAGTACAAAAACATCTTTTTTTTTCCTCAAATTTCAATAACAATTATGGTCAAATTTCGTCCACTGGGCGAACACTAGATGTTATAAACTAACCTAACGCTAATTTAAAAATTCGGCATTTATCCCAAATCAGACTATTTCAATCAGAAGGAAAAAATCCATGTCGATATTTAAAAAACAAAACAATTTTATATCTATAAAACCAGTAGCATCAAAATTGTTAAAGCCCTTTCGTGAAAATATTAGAAATTATCGATAGTCAGAGCTATCGAGATATCGCCGAACCTATATCGAACTCGCTGGCTCTCTTAATTTCCCGACATATTTTCTTCCATTAGAGTCTTTATTCTCTTCAGAACTCCTTCCAAGCCCGCATTCCTCAAGACGGAGGCAATAGCTCTGCGTCCTCCGGTTTGAGGGATAGCTGACCTTTAGGATAGTATCCTGGAATCTTAACGACGCCCTTTTGGCTCCATCCCATATTGTCTATTCGTCCTTCATCGAGGCGCGATCCGGCTTCCGTTTCCTTTGGAATAATTGGAAAGGACATGTTTGGTGGAAGCGAAGGACCTTCAGACTCTGAACAACAAAAAGGGATCATTTTAGAATTTGGCTTTGGAATAAAATAAATACTCTTTTAAGAACGCCTTTGAGTCTCGGAATCTCGTGTTTCGTCTAGTCCAGTCGTTTGTCAAATAATAAAAGTTTTTGCCAGTGTCCTTGGCTTAAAAACAATTATAGCATCGATAAATTTAGAAGAAACATGTTTTTTTTTGTCATTGTTCTAATATTTATATTAATCTTTCTTCTCTAAGCACTGAATCGTGTAGAATTATAGTAACAAACAATTTTAATATTTCCTTCTTACTGTTACTTTCCTCAATGATAAAATTTGTCGTCGTATTTTCCTGGAAAATAATAGAGTTTTTCATTGTAACTAAGTTGATCGGAGAGGGTCGAAGGTCATTCCAAATTAGTTTAATAATTTATGTAACATGTACTTTTTGGATTTTTATTATTTCTGACATACGTGTATCTTAAAATGGTCTGCTTTTGGGTTATATGAACAATCTAGCTTCTAGAGAATTAAAATTATTTAAGGAGACAAGGTATATACCTGGGTTGTTATAGCAACGTTTTCTCAGTAACTTTAGTCACGTTAATTGATTAAAATAATTAATTAAGTATTACCGCTTTATGAGTTATAGTAAAACTTATGTAATGTGCACGCCTCGCCAGATTTTTTTTTTCTTTGCTTTTATTTAGTTATCTCTGATGGATAAAATGTTTACCACAATATTCAATCGATCATAAACTATTTTTATCCTGAAATAAAATCAATTTAAAAACATTAAACTTTTAAATGAATCCTAATATTGTTTTCGAAATTAATTACAATTTTACGAGGCGATCAATAAATTATAACCAGGATTTTCTTAAATATTTGAGTACCTTTAATTTTGTGAAGTTGAACTTAATAAATAATACTGTTAAGGTATGTGTAGGGATAATAAATAAAAAAATTTTAGCCATTATAAGTTCTAAAAATTTATTCTTTTTTATTAAAAAAAAAAAAAAATTATATTAAGAGTGCAGTTATGGGTGGATTGATTTCTATAAACATACGCATGTTTTTACATCATGACATATCAAAAAAATAAAATATGGTATGTATACCTTAACAACGTTCACATATATTTTACAAACTATATTTTATGTTATGAATAAATAAACAAAAGTTTTAAAATATAAAAAGGTTTAAATTTACGAAAACAATTTTTTTTTTTAGAGTTTTTTAGTTAATTTTATTTTTGTCTCTTTTGGCTTTTAATAACATCAGATGAACGCAATTACTTTAAAAACAGTTTATAGCTATGCGTTATATTTATTGATAATAACTTTATGAAGTAGATTTTAAGTAAATATTTAGAGCTATATAAAATTAATATTTTCATTTATATTGAATCTAAATTTGTTTTAGAAATTACCAGTTGTCATTTATTTGTATTTGATATCTCTTCAAGGGAAAATTCCCGTTAATTATGCTGACTTATCCTTTATATTTAGGAATTAATAAAGTTAATCTTTCCTGACCTCTTATCGAAATTTAAATATTGAAATCCTGATATCATGACCTTTTATGTTATAATCTGAAATAATTAATTAAAATTAAAAATAAAATTGTATATAAAAATAAACATTCATATGTCCCAAGAACATGATAATATGGCATGATTGAAGATCACCAAAATATATGTAAATATATGTTTATTTAAATATGATTACTCTTCTCTTATGAATAACTGTAGACATTTTTTCTTTCTATAAATAAGCCAATAATTAATTATATGTTTTTAAATACTAAAAATAATATGTTATATACAATATATATATATATATATATATATATATATATATATATATATATATATATATGAAGAGAAGAATAGTTGGGGTGTTCAGTCAAAAAAGGAAGGCAAAAAATAAATTATAATATTTATTTTTTATTTTTTACATATGCCTTTTTTATTTTTTAATTGGCATATGTAAAAAATAAATATTATAATTTATTTTTTGCCTTCCTTTTTTGACTGAGCACCCCAACTATTCTTCTCTTCATTATCCACGACAGTCAACCAATTACCAATTATGAATATATATATATATATATATATATATATATATATATATATATATATATATATATATATATATATATATATATATGAATTAATAAAATTGTAGGCTTCTAAAGCGGTATTCCTAAACATTTTCGGGTGGAAGTGTTATCAAACGACCTTGAGACAGATTAACAAGGTCAAATGCGAAATAGGTTCCGTGCCAAATTCTCTCGAAACATCGATATTCTGTTATTATCGATTATAGGAATGTTGCGGCTTAATCCAAAATCGAATCTTTATTTTTATTTTTTTTATGTTTTCTTCCTCAAATTATTAATTTATTTCTCTCATATTTCTAATATATTTCTACTAATTATAATTGATTAAGATTTAAAACAAAAAAAGAATATGACATATTGTATACTATTTAGGATTTTCAAAACCTTCGTATTTGATTGTTATCTTGTTCCATGTTTGCTCTAAGGCACACTCCAAATTGACCCTCATTGATAACAGCAGTTAAAAAACTCCAAATAATAATTTATTTTTTCTTTTTCATTTGAAAATAATTACACAATATAATATTTTGATCCCGATGCATCAGGAACTGTTACGAAACGCTTACAGAGCTGGGAAAATTTTATTTTAAATAATAAATAAAAAATTACGTATGAGAGTTTATTTGTTATTAACAATTTTTTTTGATAATATAAGATTCTATCTCGTGGACAATGGTTATATTGAGGTAAGACTACATTCACACTATATATATACAGAACATAAACAGAAATAAAAGAACAATTAAATAATAGTAAAAAATTATAATGTCGTTAATAAAATAAAATAACTCAAGGATAAGTAAATATTCTCAATTGCCATATAATTTTTACAGTCATATCATTAAATTATTCGATTTTTTTTCTGTACTGTTCAGAAAATTGAAGTGAATGCAAAAAAAAAAAAAAATAGTTTGACATTACACATAATAATAAATAATTTGAATAACGTAGATCCTTGTCAAGTTTAAAGTTTTCTTTTTTTAAAAAATGAATTTTTACTTACTCGATTTTTAACTATAATTTTATAAAATATTGTTATTAATTTATTTATTTTTAAATAACTTACTAAATTATTTTTTAGTATAAATTCATTTATTATTTATTATATTTGTTATAAATTACTAAGCTGACTTCATTACAAATAACTTGATAAATAGTTCTGTATATATATATATATATATATATATATATGTTGTTCTAAATAGCCTTTTCGATTGATTTAGAACTTTTAAAAAAACTTTGCAAAAGACAGGAATCCTATGAGGTGTGTTCGCCATTGCTTACCGTGAATATTATTTGCAGATAATATAAATAAAGCATAGGAACAAATTTTTAAGTATATTGTATATAAAATAAATTATACCACAGATAGAAAGAACTAAAAATATCGGCAATTATTTAAATAAGGGCATGGTTCACAATCACTTCGGTCACACTTGTTCATAAAAAACCCAAAACAATCTAATGGATAAACCCGGATGCATTCGCCATTGCATGAACAAGTGTGACCGTAGTGATTGTGAACAACGCATAATCCGTGCGGTCCTCATCTAAATAAATAAGTAACACCGTTCATGCTTAAGTACTGTTATTTATGTAGTTTAAATAAAATAAATCAATTACTTAGCAAATAAGTTACTTTACAAGTATCAGCTTTAATGAGTGACACAAGATCTCATGATTATACTGTAAATGAAATTCCGAGAATTGCCGAAAGTAGACGGAGATGACCGAACTGTCTGGTAAGGTTATTTATAACAACTACGAAGCTTATTTATACCTTTTGAGTTAGCGTAGCGAGTCGAAACCAACGATGCAATTAAAACAAATTGAAAAGGACCAGCTGGGGATTGGTGGAAGTTATAAATCACGATCTAAACAAAGGGAGGTTATACAGTGAACACTTTGTCAATGAACGAGACCGTTCTCGGAATTCCATTTATAGTGTGATCATGAGATCTTGGCCCACTCATCAAAGAGAAGCAACAGTGTGAAGTAGCAGAGTTAATTGTTGTAACTGTTACTTATACTTCGTTACTTATTTGAGCAGACATATACTGATCGTATTTATAAAACTGGCTTGTTACAGTTCAATAATAGTAAACTAAATCGCTGGGTACAGCTAGTAACAGATGTAAGAATAAATAGACTAATATATACAATTAAGGAATTATAATGTTTTTGCTTCATTTGAATTATCCCTATAATGAGTGCTATCCACCGACATTGCGTAGTAACATAGATAAATATAGTATAATAGTATGTTATTTAGTAATAATATTCATTTGTATTGAGTATTTACGTTGGATGCTCACTAGTATAGTCTCATGTTATCTTCAAACTGATTGGCTCTGAAGACACGAGTACCGTTGTCTCTAGCCAATTCCCACGCTCGTACCGTTGCTAGTCTGCAATCCGATCGATTTCATCGATAAGCTAATGTAAAATTGTTTATTATGTACATTTGTAACATATATACATCACCTGATTATTTATTATTTATTTGGAAATTGTTTAGTATTATTTTATTTTTTAAGTTTTTTGGATAAATTGTAATACACGATTTGATATTAAAAATTAATCTACATTTTTCTTTCGTCTCCCTCGATAGCAAATTCTAAAAATTATTAGTACAATTGATATATAAAACATGTTCGGTAAACAATAATTAACGTTTAGTTCATGTTCCTTGTTTACGGTTTTGAAATACTCGAAATATATTAATATAAACAAGTAAAAAAAAAACTCGCGAGGAGACAAAATATTATATGTGAGGTTATTTATTATTTATATTTATATGTGAGGTTATATGTGATTGTGGGTTCTTTTCAGTCCTGAGGAACCATAAATTGTCGAAACCTTAATGTGTTTTTTGTTTTTCTTTTTACTTCTATTTCAGAGCCACAAATCTGGTGGATGGT